CTTTTTTTAATAACATGCAGAAGGAATGCGAAAAGAAAGATATCGACGAGGGCAGAGTTTCGGATATAGTTTGTTCTTATGGTGCTCGTGAGGTTTGTGGCAGATACAAATGCTTCATTTTTGGATACTATTATTATTATTTTGTTTTGACATAAACATATTTATATATGTAACGAAATTTCTCGACAGGAGTCGAAAGTGTCCGTTTCATCTGTTGATTTCGAGACGGTACGCATTGTTTGTTTATCTGAACTAATATAATTTTCGTTCATTTTATGCGTTCTCTCAAACTTCCATTTCCTATATATTTAAGGTTTTGAGCAACACTAAAGAGCTTAAGCAGAAGTTGAAAGACTATCTTCGTAACCAGTCCGATTTGTTCAAAGATGGCGGTGTCGGAACAGATAAGGTCTATAATTATATTTGTTTAGTATTTTAATTTGTCTTGTATTTTCTCATTTGGTATTAATGAATTGTGACATTTGTTCTTATATATATATATGTGTGTGTGTGTTTGTTGTGTGTGTGTGTGTGTTTTGTGTGTGTGTGTGTGCTGTAGGTGAAATTTGGCACACCTGGCTGGAAGGAAAGATATTACAAAGAAAAGTTTTCTCTTCAAACCACACAGGACATTGAAGCAATCAGAAGAGATGTGGTCAGTATTTTTTTTTTTAAATTTTTTGTTTTCATTTAAAATATTAAAATCAAGTTTATAGAGAAACATAAATATATTCTAATACTTTTCTTGTAATTTGATTTTTTTTTTTTTTATTAACTAGGTAGCGAAATACGGTGAGGGGCTTTGTTGGGTTCTGCTGTACTATTTCTGTGGAGTTCCCTCATGGACTTGGTATAATATATTTACAAATCATTATTTGTTAAAAAAAATTCGAGAACTAATTTACAAAATTAAAATATTCTTTTTACACGTTTTTGTCGATAATCGGAGGTTTTATCCATACCATTATGGTCCTTTGGCATCTGACCTGAAAGGATTATCTCGAACAAGTGTGAAGTTTCGCAAAGGTTTGCCTTTCAAGCCCTTTAATCAGCTAATGGGGGTACTTCCACCTAGGAGGTTAACTTACTCAACTCCATATTCTTTTTTTTTTGGATTTTTAATTTATTTTGGTTTCGTTTTTGTACGTAAAACATTCGATATCTCTGTTTGTACAGCGTTCATGCATTACCGTCGGCATACAAGTGGCTTATGACCGATGAGAAGTCGAATATAATCGACTTCTATCCATCTGGTAATTTAAATCCAATTTCAAATTTCAAGATGGATTAATAATATTTCCAAAGTGATTGATTTTATATGTTTTTTTTTAACGATATTTTAATATACAGAATTTGAGACGGACGTTGATGGGAAGAGATTTGCATGGCAGGTAGCAGCACATTGAGATTTTTCCTAGAGTAGTTAAGTTTTTTTTTTTTCAATATATTTTGTTAATATTCATTTTGTGATATATAATATTTCTCCGTAAGGGCATCTGCAAGCTCCCGTTTATCGACGAAGAACGTCTACTCACAGAGACGAGGAAACTGGAGAATGAACTTAAGGTGTCCTAAAAATAAATACTACATTGTTCGATTTGGGATGCATTAATCATAAATTGTAGTAATTTAGTGGTTTGTTATTTTTTGTAGGAAGATGAGAAAGTGAGAAATTTGCAGTCACTCGATCGGTTGTTTGTGAGGCGCTCGAGGGAAGATAGTCGACTCGTCTTGCACGGAGGAAATAGAGCAGTGGCCTCAGATAAAATTAAGGATGCATTAATGATGGATTTTGCTAATAAGTAATTGTTTATAAACTTGATTTTTTAATTATTAATTTTCAAACCCATCTCAAATATTGATTTTCCTCCTTTGATGTGATAAATTTCAGTGAGGGCATTAAAGGTATTGTACACGTGAAGTCGGAGGACCTCGTTCGAGCTGATGATAGTAGAGACCAACTGAAAAACAATTTGTGAGCAAATTGAATACAATTTTTCTTGTTTCTTATCATTATACTTATTATATTTAATCATCTGTGATTAAATTAATCATGTTTTTTTTTTGTAATTGATCAGATGTATGATGTTCTATGAGGTCGATGAAGCGGTTCGGCACATTCCAAGGCCGCTCGAAAATGTTGACATCCCGGAGAAGGTAAAAAACTATTATATTACAAATTTACATGTTCATGATTTGATTCATTTCTACTTCTATTATTTAGATTTTGACTGACATTTTTCCTCGTATTTAATCTATTTAATCAGATAGTGTACGATGAGGACATAATCGAAACTACTTTATGGCATGAATCCACTTATAATAACCGGTAAAAAATGCCAGCTTCAAGCGTGAAAATTCATACGATTTTAAGTTATGTTTTTTCAGTAACTTATTGAACATTTTCGGGCGGACAGGTTTCAGAATCGGAGACCGGTGGTTTGTCACGAACCTATACCGAGTCTCGATTCGCAAAATATTCGTGTTCCTGCTGGTCGCGGGTTCAGTGTAGGTCGAGGCAGAGCGTATGAAGAAAGCCACAGCTATTTACACAGTGGGCCTGGCAAC